AGAGGGGGGGGGAGGGGAGAGAGAGGAGCGAGGGAAGGGAGGGGGAGTGAAAGAGAGGGGATGGGAGAGAGAGGGAAGGGGGGGATGAGAGAGCGAGAGGGAATCTTTTTAAATGATAATTTTTTTATTGATGGTCTATAAACAATGGGTCAGTGAACACTCACTCTGGGTCTGTAGCGGCTGTCTCCCGTCGGCGTCAGATGCACTGTAATAAAATGAGAACACCGTTATAGAAGTGATGTAACTGAGGACGGTGGATGGTGACGGTGCGATGGCTCTGGATTGGTTGAAGCTTCTCGGAGATAAGCAGCCACAGCCTGAGTAGTGAAGCCTGTGTGCTGCCAGCATGCTGCAGAGAAGGACCTTTAATTCCTGTGTGGAAGCAGCGGTCTCTCTACAGAGGTCTGACATGCCCCCCCCCCGCTGAATCAGAGCCAGAGCTGTCCAATGAGCAAAGCTCACACTCCCTGCTGATATCCGTTAGAGCGCTCCAATCAGCAGGGAGATCGAGCTTTACCGTTTGTAGAGCTCTAGCGGGGGAAGTGTTATGTTGCGTGTCGGACCTCTGCGGAGAGGCCGCTGTTTCCGCACATGGAGCGAGGCAGGGGGAAGGCTTTCTTTTAATCTGGCTGCTCTAACAAGAAAAGGAACGTTAAGACTTTGTTTTTGTTTATTCGGCTGGATTGTATTTACAAATAATATAATTTTATTTTGTATTTCAATTAGAAAAAAAAAAACATTTTCTCCAGTTTTGATAACTCCGCCCCCTTGCTGCGAGTTTATTTTATCTCGGCAGCTACTAACCGTAGTGTATCCGCAAGGAGGAGAAACCTCAGATATGCGAGACACAAACATGGCCGCACCAAAAGGGTCAAAATATCCAAATCGGATACGCAGAACGTCTTTCAGGGAGCGGCGTTCGAGCAAAGCGCAGTAACCCACGGCGACCGCCCAAGCGACTGCGCTTTTACCCGCCGCCATTGATACTCCCGCAGCGAATGGGGGGCTGAAGGATGCGAGCGCTGATCTGGGGGGAAGAAGAATGAAGGAAGATGGAGATGAATCGCCCGCAGCGTCGCACTGAAAAGAATAATAAATTGCTCATAAAAATAAACTTGCTATTTGGACTCCTCCCCCTCCCCGGGGTACATCTGTGAGAAGAGATTTCATTATCAAGGCTCCCCCTCAGTGCGGGGGACCCCTCACTGGAAGGGGGGGGGGCTGCAACAAATGCTATACAAGTAATAAATGGGCTTCGAGTGTGTTTCAGTCGCGCTGTGAAGGATCCCGGAGGACTGACCTAAATTTGAAGAAATGGGTCAACAGACCAAAAATGCAAAACTACGTCTTCTTTTCTAATGCGTATCAGTGGAATGCGTTCGGCGCGCTCGGCCTGCGTACATCATGAACTGAATTTTTCTAATTTAGAAATTTGGGGAAATGTTTTAGTGTGTTCCTGTGCCCTCAGCCACAGCTTGGCTTCTATAAAAGAGGAATTAAAGTGTATCTAAATCCAAATCACAGAGCTGTCCTCCCTCCGAATCTTTCTGCAGGTTTATCGTGTGCGAATAGATGCAGATATGAACGTTCTTAGATACATTTTCTTTTCAGGGTGACTGTATATAATGTAATACTGCATTGTGGCCACTAGGTGGCGCCGAGGAGCACAGGAAATGTAATACTGAATTGAGGTCACTGTATGGAGCTGGGGAGCATAGGAAATAAGTATAAATGTCCTATGCTCCTCAGCACCATCTAGTGGCCATAATGCAGTATTACATTTCCTGTGCTCCTCAGCTCCATCTAGTGGCCATAATGCAGTATTACATTTCCTGTGCTCCTCAGCTCCATCTAGTGGCCATAATGCAGTATTACATTTCCTGTGCTCAGCTCCATCTAGTGGCCACAATGCAGTATTACATTTCCTATGCTCCTCGGCTCCATCTAGTGGCTATTTTGCCGTATTACTTTTCCTGTGCTCCTCAGCTCCATCTAGTGGCCACAATGCAGTATTACATGACATACGTACCTTCAACCTGAGATGTAAATATAAAATAATTTATGTTTGTGTCTATTCGCACACCACAAACGCTGAAAAAGATTTGTATTGTGATTGGCTCTAGATTAGGGAGGGGTTTTATTTTTCTTGTGCCTGTTCCCTTTAGATGTCTTCCTTCTTCTTGCACTACAGACACAACAGGAAGTAATAGGATATCTTTCTAAAGTGAAGGGAAATCCCCTCTTTGACAGTTGTCACCACAGGTGTCCCCATTGAAAGATTTCACTTGCTGTTCCAGTCTCAACCAATACATTTTGGATTTTAATCACCCAGTGACACCAGAGAAGGTGAATCCCCCCCCCAGTGGGGGTCACGTACAGCACTAAAAATGCTGACAGAGGTTCTAAACCATCCAAAGCTAATAATAATAAATGGTGGGGAAAAAGTGTCTTTAGATACGGTATGAAGATATCCCTTTTTGAGGTGTAATTACCTCTGACAGCCAGCAGGGGGAGTCATAGTTTGAAAACTGTCGTATGCACCCAATTCTACATGTTTCCTGCCAGCAATTTTGAGAGGAACGAAGATACTTACTAAGAGCAACGATGATCCCCAGAGCAAACATGACAACGGCCAGGATTAGCCCCGTCATCCGTACGGTGTCGTAATCTGTATTTGGAAACACCAAAAGTCATATCGGAGCCAACAGAACGATTCATGGATTCCTCAATCTCTGTTACCCTTCCGCACCCTCCCACTGCTCTCCGTTGTTCCTGATTGATGAGGACGGAACCTCTTTTGACCAAAACCCTCCATCACTGTCCCTACGTAGCTGCCCCCTTTTAATTCTCATGTATAGACCTGTGCAACCACAAAAGATGCTTCACAACCCCAAGTGTGTATATACCACCCGGGGCCCGTGCTAGACTATTTTGCGCCCTAGGCATAACCAGCTACTTGCACCCCTCCCGCGGCACAACCCCCAATCCCCCTCTGCGCAGCCCCATTCTCCTCCCGGCTAGCTTACGCAGGCAACAGGTGGATGTAAGCAGCTGGGAGCAATAGCCAGACTGCTATTGGCAGCGGCTGCCTAGTGGTAGCACCGGCCCTGATACCACCCCTATCCTAGGGTCCCTGGGTCACCTGAACGCTCACTCCAGTAGGTGATGTTGGCCATCCAGTGCTGAGTCTAACTGAGTTGATGTTTTTGGGTGGGCTTTAGGTTTTCGGCTTGCAGGACACTTTACTTACCATAGTTGAAAGGGTCTGCATTGCCGTATACGTTCACTGAAATGAAGAAGAGGAAACGCATGTCATTACATTGTTATAATAGGAACCAAAAGATCACAAATTACAGGTGTAGAAGGTTTCTGGCCGGGTTAGAGGTCCTGCTCTGGATTTATATCCAGCTCTACCAATGTTCTGCCTTTTTGTTTGGCCTTTGTCTTTTGGGGGCAGATTTAGGGGTTTTATAAGCTCTTTTTTGTAGACTTTGTAGCCTTTTGGGGTAGGTGTAGCGTCTTTGCAGACTGTTGGGGCAGGCGTTGGATCTAGATAGTCTTTTGGGGTAGATGTAGTCTTTTGGGCTCGTTGTAGAGTCTTTGTAGTCTTTTGGGCTCGTTGTAGAGTCTTTGGTGACTTTTGGGTAGATGTAGGGTCTTTGTAGTCTTTTGGGCTAGATGTAGAGTCTTTGTATTCTTTTGGGCTAGATGTAGAGTCCGTGTAGTCTTTTGGGCTAGATGTAGAGTCTTTGTAGTCTTTTGGGCTAGTTGTAGAGTCTTTGGTGACTTTTGGGTAGATGTAGGGTCTTTGTAGTCTTTTGGGCTAGATGTAGAGTCTTTGTAGTCTTTTGGGCTAGATGTAGAGTCCTTTTGTAGTCTTTTGGGCTAGATGTAGAGTCTTTGTAGTCTTTTGGCTAGATGTAGAGTCTTTGTAGTCTTTTGGGCTAGATGTAGTGTCTCTGTAGTCTTTTGGGTAGATGTAGAGTCTTTGTTGACTTTTGGGTAGATGTAGAGTCCCTTTGTAGTCTTTTGGGCTAGATGTAGAGTCTTTGTAATCATTTGGGCTAGATGTAGAGTCTTTGTAGTCTTTTGGCTAGACGTAGAGTCTTTGTAGTCTTTTGGGTAGATGTAGAGTCCTTTTGTAGTCTTTTGGGCTAGATGTAGAGTCTTTGTAGTCTTTTGGGTAGATGTAGAGTCAGTAGCCCCTATTTTAATTTTGGTTGAGTCCTTTGTAGTCTTTTGGGCTAGATGTAGAGTCCTTTTGAAATCTTTTGGGCTAGATGTAGAGTCTTTGTAGTCTTTTGGGTAGATGTAGAGTCTTTGTAGTCTTTTGGGTAGATGTAGAGTCTTTGTAGTCTTTTGGGCTAGATGTAGGTTCTTTGTTGACCTATGGGTAAAGGTTGGGTCTTATTAACCTACTGAGCTAGTTGTGGGGTCTTTAGTGTCTTTTGGGTAGATTTTAGGGTTGTTTGGTGTCTTTTGTGGTAGAACTTAGGTCTTTATAGTCTTTTGGGGTAGAGATTGGGTCTTTTCTGCATTTTGGGGTAGATATTTTGTTTTTTTTATAGTCTTTTGGGGTAGGTGTCTGGGTCTTTGTAGCCTTTTGGGGTAGGTGTCTGGGTCTTTGTAGCCTTTTGGGGTTGATGTCTGGGTCTTTGTAGCCTTTGGGGTAGATTTAAGGTGCTTGTAGACCTTGCTGGGAAGATGATGGGTCTTTGTAGCTCTTTTTTGCGCCAGATGTTGAGTTTTGTAGCCTTCTGGGCAGATTTAGGGTCTTTTTAGGACTTTTTTGCGGTAAACTCTGCAAGTCCAGTATGTGGAATCGGGCAAGAACTGTAGAATGCTCATTATTTAAAGTGATCTCAAATTAAAATGCCCGCACATACCATTCACATTTGTATTAGACTCTGGGAGTCATTTGACCTTGACCTTGGCCTGATCTAAATCCCACCTCTTGTGGTCTCCTCTGTGTACGCTGCTTCCCTTCTAAGAGCTCTGCACTTTGACAGTCACAGCCCTGTGATATTATGACCCAGCAATAAGAAATGATATCCGGCTATCTGTCTGGGCCTCTCGGTACCATTATGATGATACAACAAAATGTTTGAGCTATTCCCCCCCCCCCCTGAAAAAAAAAACAGGTTTGCCCTGCGTG